AGTAAAATTCCCGAGGGCCGAAGGCCCGAGGGAATTTTACTAAATAACCGAAATCGAGCGGCGCCCAAGGGAATTTTCCTAAACGACCCTCATTGGGCGGGACGTTTTCAATAGCTAATTCGCCCCTTTTTATGCTATTACCTTATAATATCATGATTGAGGGTATTTTCGTTGTTCTCGCAGAGCCATTAAAAACCAGTTAACAATAAATAATGGTATAAATTAAATGGTCTAATTGTTTTCCATGTCTTTGTTTAGGTTTGGCGATTTCAGTATATTCATTTTTTCTAATCGTACCCGCTTTGACGACGTTTCGGGTAGGATTACAACTAATTCTACCTGACATGACGTAAAAGCGGGTAGGATTAGAAAAAATGAATATAATGAGGTGTACTAGTTATTAATTGCCCTGCGAGAACAAAGGGAATACCCGCAATCATGATATTATTAACTTTAACTGAGCTTATGAAGCAATGGATCCTACAATCCTAACATGTCCTGTGGCTAATGCACCATATACCAAAATTTTAACGTAACATAATAATTGTGAATGCTGTGACTATATATAAAATGTACCATATCAGTATATATTAATTATGAATAGACAATCGCTATTATTAAAAAAGCATGCACACGGTTACCCACCTAAACGCTTTAGGATGTTACTTTGGGCAATCTTCTAAGATATAACAGAAAGTTTTTGTCGGAGAATTTTGACTTATATACATAGCCAGAGCAAAATATAAAATACTCGTCACTCTGTAGAAAGCCGCCATCTTTGTATTACGGCCTCGATAGCATAGTAACTAGTGCTGCGCGCAGATACAAAAACGCTGACTAGGCAAAACAAGTTAGAGCACCGTGGATAAGTAAAAATCTCTTGACCAATAAATGGCGAAAGATTAACTTAAAGAGGACAGCTTGTAAACCAAACAATTCCAATGACTGCATGGTATAGTCTTACAGAACTGCAAAAAATTAGTATAATCGACTGATAAAAAAAATACAATCAAGACCTACATACTATACAGATAAAATTAGTAATAACGAAGGCAATAATTATTAATAACACGTGGAAAAGCATAAATCGGAACTGATAAGCAAACAATCGAAAACTTCTCGTGTAGTTCACATTAAAAATGAAAACTGATAACGAAGAAGTACAAGGCAAAAATATCACAAATGCCTTATTAACAAACATTTCATAGAAGTTGGCAAGCGACTGTCTCGGAATATTCCTACAACCGCTAAGCAACCTGAGCGCTACATTAACGTTTGAAATGCTCGTTTCCATTTCAAGAGGTATCCCAACAAGAAATACTTAATCTTTTATCGAATATTGAAATAAATAAGGGAACAGGTACAGATAAAATATCTGCTAAACTTGTAAAAATAGCAGCACCAATTATAGTAAACCATTTAATTAACAATCATATTTAACAAATCGTTATCAGAGGGTACATTTCCACACGACTGGAAAATGTCCCAAGTCACGCCAATTTACAAAAATAGGTACGCAGTGCGTACATGTTGCATGTCATCTGAAACTTATGACGCGCTATAGCCTATAGCGCTGATAACATTTGGTACAACTGGCGTGAAACTTAAAATATTGATTCAATAAGTTAAATATAGAAATATTGATTGAAAAATAGCTATTATGTCAAAATAAGAAAACTTAAGACTCTCACACGAATTAGCCTACGGTGTAGACCCTAGCAGAAACACGCGAATAGGCAATGTTTTTATAAGCGACCGTTAATAGTTACATTAACAAGGTCAAGGTGGGTCAAGGTTTTATCGAAAGCGATTGACTGTTAGATTTCCTTTACAAATTTATAACTAAACTAGGTTACACACAGGGCAGAAATGCTGCCTTTGCCAGCAAATGACAAACTACAGGGTGTTGAACGAGTCCTTCAGAAACATTCTATTAATTTATTGACTATACCTTACCACTGACTGAGTATTAAATATCGTCTGGCGTTGGACAGGGTAAATACTAAAGTAGGAGTCATTACTGTGCTGATGGATTAACAAGAGACATTGGCAGATAGGTTTGTTAACCCATTTACTGGCAGTACCCTATACCACTGACGCGTGCATTGCCAGCTAATGGGTTAACCACCGTGGTTAAACATAAGATCTGATGCTCCATGAAATGTAAACAAGCTATCAATGTGATATTCCAGTTCATATTTTTATATATTCGGAATACTGATTTCTCGGTATACACAAAATTATTTTAAAGTATAACAACCAGCAAAGAAGTAAGCCACTAACTACCCTGCGCGGCGACTATATAATGACTTATATATGTCATTTTTTTGTCTGTGCGCAGGCTAGCCACTAAGGCACGGGTGTAGTTAAAAGGCTGGCGCGGACTGGCGGACGCGGACTGGCGGACGCGGACCGGCGGACGCGGACTGGCGGACGCGGACTGGCGCGCGGACTGGCGGAAAATTTTTTTTTACCAATTTTTTAATTATTGGAAATAAATTTAATTATAAATAAATTAATATTAAAAAAAATATTAATATTATTATTAATATTAATAATAATTAACAATTATTCTCCGAAGGCGAAGTGATTATCGGTGAATAATTTATTCACGATGATCCCCAAGCCTGAGGTGAATAATTGTTTTAGTATAATTTCACAGGTGATTATTTGGGAAAAAATAAAAAATACACATTTCTTCGTCAGTTAATTGACAAAA